ACCAGAGGCCCACTCACCACCGCACACACTTACAATTTAACGACAGGACTGATGGTAGAAGGAAAAAGGTCTATCAACATTCTGACCTTGAATTTGGCAGGACTCAAGGAGAAAGGGAGGGGGAAAGCACCTTCAAGCCTCTTGGTGCTGTTTCTTTTTCCAATATGAATTCTTTAATTTCTAGTTATTCTAGCCTATAGTCTGCACGTCTCGGGAGACCTTACTTTTTCTGCCCACTTTTCTGATTAAAAACAAAAAGGCTCTGAGCATGTGGTTTACTTGTCATTAGATTTTCCAAACTAATGAGGGAAACAGTGATGACACAGGGCATTTTAAAGCATTCATTATTGTTCAAGAACACCATCAGGAATGTGTGCGCGCGGAGAAAACAACCTCCCTCCGTGGTCAGCCCTGTGTCATCACGCGTGGACCTGAGAGGACAAGCTTTGAACCGGCAATTGGAAACTGGCTGCTTGCCGGGTTTTCCAATCAGTCGTTGCTCACTGTTTTCCAGTGAGCATTCATTTTTCGAAAGGCTATTTCAGTTCGTGGAAACCCTGGTCAAGGTCACCATGAGTTAAAGAAGACCATTTGATTTGGAGACAGAAGAGAACCTGGTGTCCAAGCTGATATTCAACTTACCCTGAAGGTCAGGCCGAAACTTCAGACATCAGTTTCCCCGTCCTTAACACTGTGACAGAAATGGCTGTCCACCTTCCTTGCCAGTTTATTACGAGTATCACATTAAATGTGAAACATTTCAGCAATTCAGTTTTAGAGTGTTATGTGTGAGAGGTGGCTCATTATCTCACATGTAAAACAAACAGCATTGAGACATGTTGGAATTATGAATAAATCCCAGACAAAAAGTAATTAGGAGGTTCCTGAGACTCATGAAAAGCATAGGGTTTATTGTAGACTGATTTATTCAGACCAGAAAAAATAAAATTATGTTTTAAAAAATAATCTAGGTGGCTAAGTAGGTTCCAATTTTTCTCCTTGTGTATAAAAAGCTCATTGCAGAAGCTTGGGTAAATTACACTCTGTTCCCTATAATGAGTCAGCCACACAAGATCCTATTTCTTTTTTTCCTGACCAGAGGAAATTGTGTAAGCTGTAAATCTTTATAAAGTTTGGCAAAAATGAAACCTAACAGTTGTCTATTCTCTGCATAGAAATGCTTCCCCTTCGCAAAGTTCGGCGCCTGCTCCATCGCTGCCACGCCCTAACCTGCAGGCCAGTTGGCAGCGTGATGAGTCAGCTGCTCCACAGAGATATTGTTTGAAGGCACTACTGGGTGAGTACTTTTGTTATTAATAAAAAAAAAAGTGAAAGGTCTGGTCTATTCATTTGTTGGGTACCAGTTTTATGCTACATCGAGTAAATGTACTAAAACTGGATTAAATAATCTTTAAATCATCTTTGATTCCATTTTCTTTAAATCCTTAAGCATATTTTTTCCAAGAGCACTTTTGAATGATATTTTAGATACAAGGGAAGTAGTTAGACAATAGGACACTGATTACTAGTTTTGTATAGCTAGCAGTCTACCCTAGAAAAGGCCAGGGCTTTGGAGGAACACAGAAAAGACTTTTTACTCCCGGTGCAACATTTGTTAACCATGTAACTTTGGGATCATTACTTAACTTCATGGAGTCTCTTGGTTGAAAACACTGGACAATAATACCTACTTTTTAGTTCTATCGTGAGAACTAGAGAAAAATACAAGTAACAGAGTATAAAGGTACAGAAGGAAGTCAATAAATTGTAGCAAAACAATCAGAATCGCCATGATCAATATAATCATAAAATGCCAAAGAGAATTCCTAAAGTGTGTGGATCTGTTGAATCAATGTGTGGAAGTTCAAACACAGATGCCATCTGCAATGGGCAACGCACCATGTGAGGTGCTGGAAGTAAGCCAGGGACCCAAGCTGACAAGTTACCTGATCTTATGAGGTTTATAGACTCTTGGGATATGGACAGATAGACAATTGCACAGAATGTAGAAAAGAAATTTAATGATATCTGTAATAAGGTAGTTGAAGTTTTGGCCTGTCAGGGGAGTGAATGATGAGAGGAAAGGCCAGATAACTCTAGAAAAACTTAAGAGAGGAGTCAATGATGTGCAGAGTGAAAAATAATGTAGGGATAATAAAAGTAAGAATTTAATAGTCAAATATGGAACAGTCCTGGGAACAGACAGAGGCCAGGGTGGTCAGGGGAGTGGGCACTTGAGATGTGGCAGGCCAGAGACCCCAGATGGGTGACATCACCCCTCCAAGGAAGCACTGGTCCAGGTGAGCAGGGCGACCTGACTTCATCGTGGAGCCTCCTGGTGGACAGGGTAGAAGCGCAGATGCCTTTGCTTCTCTAAAGGGAGTTAGGTGAGGGCTGGGTTGACGTCACAGTGAAGTCTGTGTAAGTGTGCGTACGTGTATTGTATGTATGTGTACACGATACAGTATGTGTATGTGAAGAATAATAATAGTATTGATAATAAAACAACAATAATGAAGCATTTGAAATATTTAAGTATTTATGTTCCAGCTACTGTTCATATATTAACTAATTGTCACAACAAATAAGAAGTAGACACCGTTATCCCAGTGAGCAGATGTCTCCCAGCTGACACAAGCAGGAAGCGAGGAGTCCAGCCCACGCAGCCTGGCCCCAGAGTCGCCGTCTGCAGCTCACACCTCTCAACGATCCTCCCTTTGATCCGGGCTTACTGTAGCCAGGCTCTGCTGAGCACCGAATACCAATGCATCATTTAACCCCCGCAACGCTCTACTTCGGCTTGGTCCATTTAGACAGATGCTGCAGGTTGTCCTATCCTTTTTGTTTGTTTGCCATTTTTCGCCCACATAGCATATTTTTAAATGAGAAGTTTCACATAAAATTCCACATTCTTGGTTTCTCTTGGTTAAATAAAAGGTCAGCCAGAATGAGCCCTCACCCCCACTTGCTAAATCTGGCAGGAGCTGCCTCCTGCATGGGCCTTGGCCTCGCCCACCCACCGCAGTCCTCACCACAACCCACTGTCCACATCGACTTAAGTTTTAAATCTCCTGACTGATCACTGGGCGTGTGTGAGCACATGACCTTGGGGTAAACCTGTCCGTGGAGTAAAAAGAAGGAGACTGCAGAGCGTAGCACTTAGACCATCACGCAGCCTGGTTTAAACCCCTAGTCCACGACTTACAAGCTCTTGTTTTCTTAATCTCTTTAAGTCTAATTTTTCTCAAATCTAAAATAGGGTTACTTCACTCAGAGTGTTATGAAATAATTAAATGAGATAGATAACGCATGGAAAAATTATGTTTGGAGTTCAATAGCAATGTTTTACTGCTGTTTTCATTAAGACCTATTGGAAGCTGAAGCAACCAGGACTGGAGTACAGATCAGAGGATTAGAGGCGGCTGCTTACTGCACTGTGAGAGGCTAGCAGCAGAGGAGAGAACCGGCGGGAAGAGAAACTATGGGATTTTAGACAGCACGTCTCCCAGACAGAAGCAGTGTGCAGTGACCCCCCCCAGAAAAAGGTCCACCCCAGGCGGTCAGGACAAAGCTAGGCGTCCCTCACAGATTTGTCGTCCTGAGCGGATCTGCCCATGTAGCTGAAATGCTGTATCATAGCCGAATGCTGAATTACGTTTTTGAGTAACTGCACCATCTTCCCCAGGCTTGAGTCAGGGAGCCACAGTTTCCCCTTTTCTCAACGCATCGTTCAGGCTCGTTCTCAGCGCTCCCCTACGTCCATTCTGCCCGGTCCCCACCCTACCCGGGCCTTCGGATTCTCACCTTTGAACCTTGCATGTAGGTGATTAACCTCTTTGCCTTCAATCTGTCACCAGCCTCAGTCCCAATGACACTCAGAGAAACAGTCCTAAAACATCATTTTATACGTGGTCTTTGTTTGTAGCACTTTGCCTTGGCCCCCCTTAGCCACAGAATAAAATCTGAACGCTCTATCTGTCACTGCGGCCCATGTGGGAACGGCTGCCCTATACTTCGGCCCCTAGTGCTCCCGAAGTTCTTTGTCCTGTTGTGCCTCCTTGCCTATGCTCGCACCACTGAGCTGACCAGAGTGCCCTCCACGTCCCTACACACATTAGCATCCACACAACATTTAGCCAGATCCTACACAACTATCATGACCTAGCTGTGACTGTGTTTTACACCAGAAGTCGGTCGGCAAATCTGTTCTCTAAAGGGCCAGAGAGAAAACACGCCGGGCTTTGCAGGCCATCCAGTTTGTGTTGCAACTACTTGGTCCAGTTCTAGGGCACATGAGCTGCACAGACAACACAGGCAGACGTGGGCGGGGCCGCACTCTGATAAAACTTCATTACGGAGACTGGAATTTAAACTTCATGTCACATTCATGGGTTCCGCCATATTATTCTTCTGATGTTTCCCAAAAATGTAAAAACCGTTTTTAGCTCATGGACTTAACAAAACAAGCAGAGGCCACAGCACGTTGTGCTTTGCCAACCCCTGCTTTATGTGCATACTGTTCGTCTATCCATAACTTTCCTTTTCAGTTTTTAAATGACATATAACTTACATTTAGCACCTTTAACCTCACCAATCTTAAACCAACAGTCGAACGAATTCTGACATACGTATACAACCACGTTCCCATCCCACAGATCGAAATATGAAACATTTCCAGGATCTTAGAAGGATCCTTCCTGGCAGCTTCTCAGAGACCCCCACCCCCGCTGAAGCCTACCCTCTCACTGTTATGAAAGCAGCCTCTGTACTTCCTTCCAAACGGCCTGGATTAAAGAAATGGTGGCAATGGCCGTGCACTACATGAACTTTTACAGAGCAGTATATTTTTAAATGAAACTTCGGATACCACTAACCAGTACGACCACATAGAAGTCTTTTATTTTTGATGATAGGTAATATCTGATGAGAAATCCCGAAAGGCAACTCTGGAAACACACGTCCACTTTTCAGGGCTGTCTGCCCACGCCGCCTCTGCTTACCTGGGCCAAGGTGAGCGCTGCTTGCTGGCAGGTGCTGCACTGCACCCTGAGCTTTCCCGGCTGCACTCCTTGACAGGGGCCTTTGCAATAGACATAAAAGCTGTTGTAGGCTCGTCTACCTGCTGGGGAGAAAAAGAAGCAGAGCAAATAGCCAATCAGTGCTGAATTCAAATTGAGACCAATTGCAAAACTAACTCCTCAGGAACATTTTGAGACATTAGTAGGATAAATAATCCAATGAAGATACAACAGTTTAATTTAGAAGATCTAGTTTTATACTCAGAAGAGTGAAATTTTTTTCTTCTCCTTGCCAACAGCCCTGTGACTTACCCAGCAAAGTAGCAGCCTGCTGCCGGGAGAGCTGGCCAAGGATATTTGCAGCACAGGGAAATTTAACGCACTTTGCTGTTAAAGTTTTGAAAAGGACAAGGAATGTAAGACCATTGGAAATTCAGAGGCTGCCGCTCCTGAATTCTATTTCATGCGTCTGCACCCAGTCTGAAGGCTCCAGATTTTTCCTCTTAAAATCTTATCTACAGGGACGAACCAGCCCACTTCTCATGACGTGAATGATATGATCACAGTTTGCTGAGTTTCCAGTGAAGACTTTCCAACACACATTCACACATAAAATAAAACAAGAGCCCTGAGGGGATTAACAGGCCCGGCAGCCATGTGTGGAAATCGGGTGTTTTGCATTTCATGTGTTCTGCACCTAGACAAATGCTATTCAAGTAATACATTTTCAAGAGCAAAAACTAGACCCCAAAAATTGATAATTAAACATCTCTGATCAAATCTCTCAAATGTCACCACATAGGGGTAGCATTATTATGTAAGTTAGGGGAGTCTTTCTGAATGGCTTCAGACTTGTATATCTACAAAGAACTAACTTTACTCAGACACATTTACCAGTAAAATAACCAACTTCCAAATTTCTAAAATTATTAAATAGTTCTTCTAATCCTTACTTCTTAGTGGGTGGTGGTAACATGAAAGGTCATGCATAAAAATTTGTTCAAAATTTTACTCTTATCATCAAGAACACCTAGAAATAATGAATAGTAAATATGTTTGACCATTATGAGTGAAAACTTTCAGTCTTTTAAATGCATATGCATTATTAAAAACAATTAGTAAAAAAATAATGGGAAAACAAAAAAAGTCTTAAGCATCCCGAAGTCTTAAGCAGCTCCATTTGCTTTACTCATTTACAAAAAGAGCCTTTTTAGACAAATTTAAGTGTCATCTGTCTAGCCATCTTTACTAATATTATAGGTGACAATTCTTTGTAGAATGTAAAGCACAATGAAGATGCTGTTGAACTATATTCAATACCTTTAATTGCTTATAATAAAAAAAGGAAAGGAATATATATGTGTATATAACTGAATCACTATGCGGTACACCAGAAATTAACACAACATTGTGAACTGACTATACTTCAATAAAAAAAAGAAATTAAAAAAAGTTTTATAATTTCATCATTTATTGATAATATATTTTGTAAATATTACTTTCCAGAGATTGATATTTAGCCTCCAGCATGAAAGGGAAGATAAAATTTAAATATATATTTATATTGATAAGAAGCTATGATTTTGTGACATTTCTTTTCAGCTTTAGTGCCTTAATGTGCAAGATATTCAAGTCTACGAATATCACATAGCTATTAGCAAATATAATGATTACATAAGATGTATTCTTAAGGTTTTATGTGTGTCATAAATGCAACAGATAGGACATACATTAAAGCTATAGAAACCCCATAACCACTGGCAGGAGAGCACAGGATTGCGACAATTTTAATGTCTAAGATGAGCTCAGCGAAGGCGGCAGGAGCTTTTATCATTAAAACATGATCAGCAACGTGAACAAAATCCGATTCACAATTCTTATAACCTGCTGTAAAGGTTAAACAGAAAAAAAGAAAGGAGGAAGACAAAGAAGAGATTGCAGAGACACTAACATTGTTGAAAGAGCGTATTAGCAAGGACTTGACAATAGTAAACGAAGCATCTCAGAAACTGCAGGAAACTGAATGGCTCTTCTCTCTCCCTTCCGGCGACAGCAACGTTTGCAATATTGTTTCAGCTAATGGTAGAGCCAGGCGGAATGCGAAGATTGGGACACCCACCCCTGCGTGCTAGAACCTTCACTAAAGTCCTTGAGAAGTTAGTCAGAAAATACTGCATGCCAAAGCCCGCGCCCTAGAAGCATACGAGATGACATGCAATCTATTACACAGTGCTTCCCAGAGCCAGCGCCAGCTGGGGATTAATGGCTGGTCTAAGGAAGATCAAGGTCAGGCCAATCTCGGCTACGGCAAATTTCAAGCTACTGGCGCTAGCTGGTCGAGTAGCGAGGGCTTCAGGTAAATCTTGAGAGCTGCTTTTCAGGACGGCTCCCCCCACCTATTTGGCTACATCGTACTCTTGAAAACTGGCAAGCTTCTCTGTGTCAGGCTGGGGTCTGGAGTGCTCAGGACAGGAACAAGCACGAACAACACCCCGACAATCTTCTGGGCAAGGTTCCCGTTGGACCTGATGGAAGGGTCTAAGGTAGACTCAGATATGGAGCCATAACTCCTACAGGAACAGCAAAGCCATGGGATGGATGACCCAGGAAACTCTCCCTCGGTATACATCTGTCTCCAGTCAGTAACGTGAATCTTCCTGCTCTTACTTCAGCTGCATCTTAAAATCCTTTTTCTCTCTTAATCAACTCTTTCATATCGCAACCCTTTCACTGCCCAAAACAATCAAAACGGCTTGTGCTTGTCCTTATAGATTTCCCTCTTTCTATACAGTAGGTTTTAAACATACATAAATACTTTAAAAAGTCTTACAAATGACAACCTTCCCTGTAATTCACCAGTTGTGAACATTTCGCCATACTCTGAGTGCACCCTGCGTGTGTGTACGTATACACACATGCACAACACAGACATGCTTTTTCGGCTGAATGATGTTTAAGTTGAAGACATCACGCTACTTCACCCCTAAATCCTTCAATATCCTAAAAATAAGAACTTTTTCATCGAAAACAATAGAGCTTTTTGAGTGAGTTGGTTGTTTCAGCTGTTCTATTCAGACCAAGGGAGTAGACCCAAGTACCCCTTACAGACACTGCAGTGCTTTGCAGGCTGCTCAAAGGTGTCAAGCCAAAACACCAGGAATCCTTCAGTCAAACCACCTTAGGCGATGCCAAGCTAAGCAAGTCCTCTCGCTTCAGGACTTTACAGACTCCCGGGGACAGGAAGTACAGAGCACAGCCCGTCCCAACCTCCACCAGACCTCAGAAGCCTTCCTCGTATGAAGCACCTTGTGTAAAGGCATTTCTCAGAAAAAAAATTGGAAAAAAGTCTGGAGGAAGGACTAAGGTGTCGGTTTGATCTACAGCAAGGCCAACTGCTAGATCTGTAAACACATATCACTAAGCACTCCTGCTGGAGAGCCTGTTGACAAGCTCTCCCCTCCAACCCGGGCGCCATCCGTGAGCTTGTACAGTTATTTGCATCAGGAACCAGGAAGCCTGGTCTACTCACGTGATGATTTTACAAAGTGACTTCAGAAGTTTTCTTGTTTGTTTGTTTTTGTCTGGATGGAAGTTAAAAGCACAGTTAGTGTTCAGGGCCCCTTAAAGTGTGAGTCACTATGTCCATTCAGAGCATCCATAGTGTTTATCATTTTATCATTATCTTAAGGTTTTCTCTCCCACTTTGTGGGAGAGAACTAACATAATCCTTCCTTGAGTCTCTTCTTTTCCCTTACTCTCTTGGTCCAGAAAATTGCCAAAAACATTAACATTCACCACGTATTGAGCAAACTCCCTATTGAAAAAGAATATATATTATTTGCCTTGGCTTTTTGAAAAACTAGCCTAATGTGCACAGTTTCCACTTCTAATGTATTTTAGATAATGGGCTTATGGCCTGAAGATGTTGTTTTAATAAGATAAATAAACCCTTAGGAAAAGTCATTCTGATTCTGATGAAAACCTGTCACTGACCTCAGAAGTTTCCATCACTGGTTGTCACAGAGAGTCAAGAGTTTAATTGCCTGGATAATCTGTTTTCTAGGGGAGAAGAGAGTCGGATTCAACACACATTATACCCTGGCAAAATGATGCTCAGTGTCAGTATGCTGTAAAGCAGCAGGGACACACTGGTTTAAACTTATAGTTACTACGAATGAGCATATTGAAATACTAAGCAGAACGAACTGCCCATAGGAATTTTCTGTGGCCACGGAAATGTACTCCATCCGCTTTCTCCCACATAGTAGCCATTAGCTACAGCTGCTTACTGAGAATTTGGCTAGAACTATCAAGAAACTATTATTTTGGGGGGTTTTAAATATAATTTTAAGTAATTTATACTAACAGCCATATGTGGGTAGAAGCTACCAAAGCAGACAGCACAGAAAAGAATAAGTAACAACGGTGTGTCTTGTCCCCTCTCCCCCTCCCTAATTAGGCAGGCAGACGGCGATACAAGAAGATGCTTCTGTCACACCGAGACGCCCAACAGCCGGCGTCAAGTGCGCTAATATAAAAACAATGTAGCGAGAAAGAAGGGGAAGGGGGAAGGCTTGAACTTGAGGCCCCGGGAGGTAGGGCAGAGATGGGTGGAGACTTGGGTTCTGCGTAATGTCAGAGGCAGAGCAGGGCTGATCCCCACTCCTTCCTCCAGCCCCGATCCCCCCACCTCTACCCCTCTCCACTGCCAGCACCAGCTTCGAAAGCTGACCCATATATATTCAAGGTTCAGTTACAATGGCACTTCCTCTAAGAATGCTTCCCTTGACTTCCCCATAAGGATAGCTCCCTAAAACTTACTTCTAAGAGTAGGAAACTGCCCAGCTTAGTCTGGTCACCTTTAAACAACAGACTTGTCTTCACATCAGGAAGCCGGCAGCTGATAAGGAGGAGCCCCTGGAGTGAGCATCTTTCACAGACCTCATCCAGCCCCCCACCACTGCCCGGCGTGGCACTTCGCATTTTCAGCCCTCCTGCCTCCTTCTGATGATCACTTTGTTCTTGTTTTCTAAATATCAAGGATATTACTGCTGTCTGCGCCATTAGCTGCCTTGATCAGCTGTAACCTGCCATGTTCCCTCGG